GCTGTAAAACAGCAATTATGCTGAGTCAGGCTTGATTTTTAATAATCTTTTCCTGTTGAATCAATAAATCAAATCAAATCAAGTATTTGCACTTAGTTACTTTACAACTCCGCTAATAGCGTTATTTTCTACCATCCTGCAGGTTGTTGACTCTCTGGATGTGTCAGCTCATGGTACCAGAGTGGGTCTGGTTCAGTACTCCAGCCGGGTCAGGACAGAGTTCCCACTCAACATGTTCCACACAGCTGAGGAGATCAAAGCTGCAGTCATGAAGGTAATAATCCAAGCAGATTTATGCCAAACGTCCAGTTTTATATAATAACGTTGTACTTTTACCACAGCAGGTAAAGAGAAATCATTGGAGGATTTAACTTTTTAAAAATGACGTCGTTTACATCTGTTTCCTTACATTCAGGTTGAGTACATGGAGAAAGGAACAATGACGGGTCTGGCGCTGAAGCACATGCTGGAGAACAGCTTCTCCGAGGCAGAAGGAGCTCGTCCAGCCAGTCGCAACATCCCCCGAGTCGGACTGGTTTTCACAGATGGGCGGTCCCAGGACGACATCAGCGAGTTCGCCAAGAAGGTTAAAGAAGCAGGTCAGGCTCGGCTCCGTCCCACTAAACTACCCGAAACTTCACCCGACACGGGACAAACCTGGTTCAGACCCAACGTTTCTGTGTGTGATCGCAGGGATCACCATGTACGCTGTGGGCGTAGGAAAAGCTGTGGAAGACGAGCTCCGCGAGATCGCGTCCGAACCTGTGGACAAACATTTCTACTACACCACCGACTTCAGCGCCATCAGCACCATCGCTGAGGACCTCAAGCTTAATGTCTGCCCAGGTACAAAACCTTGAGGGAACTCACCGTAAAAACAACAACAGTGGAAGTTAATCCAGTTTGAGATAGCTGCCACAGCTAACTCAGCTAACAAACAGCTGGCTGATAACGAGCTGATATGGTAGTAGCTGAGAGTCATCCTCAACACATCCTATGAGCTCTAACAGTCTCACATTACATGAGATTGTGCAAAAATGTTATTTACAAATGGCTATAATAATAGGATGATTTAGGTTTAATGCACTGAAGGTGGTGGGCAACGTGCATCATATTTCTTTACCATAAAGTAAACTTTAAATTATCTGTTGCTGCATGATGGTGGCTCCAGYTTAAAGTCCTACAATAGAACTGCAAAGATGATTTGTTTTTTGGCGCTACCTGCTGGCTAAAACATGACACTGCACTTTCTAAACGAATTGTTAACATGCAACACTGCAGCATTTCTTTTATATTAAAGAGTGCTGAAGTTTAAAACTTGGACATTTTAAAAGGTATAAAGCAACAATAAATTTAATAATAAGTAACTAATAAATAAGATCTAAAATGGCTGAATAAAACGTGTTTCCYCCCAGCAGAGGAAAGTCAGGGTGAGATCGAGGTGAAGGATCCGTGCGCCTGTGAGAACCTGGTGGAGTTCCAGCAGGCCACCATAAACAGCCTGGAGCAGCTCACGCAGAAACATATCCTTTATTTAAAAAACAAACTAATATGTACATGTGTTGTAAATATATGCACAAATACTGGTATTTTCTGTTGTTCCTTAATCCACTGTCCACTGGGTTCCATGACTGCCCGCCTGGAGCAGCTGGAGAACCAGCTCCTCACCAGGAAGTGATGCAACCAGCGAGAACATCGCTCAGGAAGAACAGTGAAAAGAAAGAAGAGGAGGGCACATCCTGAAGCCCTGCAGCACACCAGTTTCTGCCATCTGTGGGGCTTAGAGGACAACGAGGAAAATAAAAACTCCTCAGACTGTTACACAAAAAGAATGGTTTCCCAAAGCTTGTTTTTAACCTTTATGAGCTCTTTGACGGTTCGAGGTTCAGAATCTAATTTCACTCATAGTTGCTACGTTTCCTAAAAATATCTCAGTTCAGATTAACAGAGTGTATTCACAGAATCCACGTTTTAATCMCTTCAAAGCCTGTTTTTAAACTAGTTGTAATGAGTGGACTGTAGATATTAGATGTAAGCACATTTTTACAACAGGTTTCAGTCATAAACTCCATCTGCTTCTTTTGTGCTTCATTAATGCTTTTTTTGTTTGTTTTATGCATATTTTTTGATATATTTATGGTAGATTGTTGTTTTCCAACCAACAGCTGAACAACAAACATAAAAAATCAGTTTTATTACCACTTTAGATATTTTGAAATAAAATATTGTTTTGCTGATGTCTACGGTTTTTAATCTGGGGCCTGATGGCTTTGTTAAAAATCTGAAAGAAAAAAAACTGGTTTGAATTTTACAAAAAGGGAATATGAGGTGTTTGTGTGCTCATTAAAGTTGTGGTTTGTTGTGAAAATGGTAAATAATATGCAGTTTTTTTTATAATAAATAATTTAAACTTTTCAAAATATTTCATCTTCAGCCTTTGTATTGGATTMTGTGCAGAACAGGCCTCCTCACATTGGTGTAAAATCAGTGATTGTTAACAGACAACAGACCAGGAACACAAAACAAAAACACACAAAAAAGCAAAAAACTATTCAGAAGAGTTAAAACTGTTACAAATTTCTCCTGCTTATGTTAAAAATTTGCAGTTTATTAAAAAAAAACAAGTTTATACCCAGTAATGTTGCAACACTTGTATGTTTTTTGTAYATTTTATTATAGTTCCACTTTTTATAAGTTTTTAATGAATCTGTATTTTATCAAAGAAGGCAATAAAGAAGTGAATTTGCTGATTCTGATTTATTTATTTTAATTTTATTTTTATGAGTCAGATCAAATGTTTTCAATAATTTTTATTGTTTTGTTTTAAAGTTAAAAGGAGCCAATGAGCCTGGGTGATGTTGAGACTCAGTTAACTTTAAAGAGTTTCTTCAAACTTCAGAAGCTGAGAGATTATTATTTAATAAATTCACCTGGAAAGCGCCGAATGACTCAAGCTCATTCTCAGTGGAGGAACTTGTCTTTTGTTTTGGAACACACCTGCAGGTGCACAGGTGAGGCGAGGGAAACCCAAAAGGAGCACAGTGAGCTCCCTGTGGGCAGCGTTTAAAGAGCAGCTCTGCAGGGATCACTTACTGTCAGACAAGCAGCTTCATTACTGATGGTGACCTTTAAGACGTTTTCTCCACAGAGTGTGAAGCAACACATTTGTTTCAGAAGTTTCTGTCTTTCAGACTAACAAACATCTGCGAGTTCAACAACTGTTTGAGAGAATGTCATGCATTCAAAACACTTCAACAWAGTGGGGAAAATACAAGAAGAACTGATAAAAGCTATTTAAAAATGATAGAGCACTTATTATTCTACATCTTTAAGTAAAATACAATTATATAAGAGAAAAGTAGTAGTAACATCTATAATTTGGACCAGTGGGAAAGAGGTTGCCTTCCAACTAGAGGTCAAAGGTCCTTTGGGTAAGACACTGAATACCGCTCACTGCACCCAATACTTCTATTGAACTGTATTAATCTGTTGTGCGAATGAGAAACACCGTGAAGCAGAGCAGAACCTGGAGAGGTTAAAATGTTTTATACAGTCATGGCCGAAAGTGTTGGCACCCCTGATTTTTTTTCCCAGAAAATGAAGTATTTCTCTCAGAAAAGTATTGCAATTACATGTTTTGATATGTGCTTATTTCCTTTGTGTGTATTAGAACAACACACACAAAAAAACAGAGGAAAAAAAACTAATTTGACACAATTTTACACAAAACTCCCAAAATGATTGGCGCCTTTTCAAAATTGAGGGTAAACAACTTTGTTTCAAGCCTGTGATGCACATTCAAACTCACCTGTGATAAGTAACAGCTGTGGGCAATTTAAAAATCACACTTGAAAGCAGATAAAAAGGAGAAAAGTTGACTCGATCTTTGCATTGTGTGTCTTGTGTGTGCCACACTAAGCATGGAGAACAGAAAGAGGAGAAGGGAACYGAGGACTTGAGAACAATTGTGGAAAAATATCAACAAGGTTACAAGTCCATCTCCAGAGATCTTGATGTTCCTTTGTCCACGGTGCACATCATAGTCAAGAAGTTTACAACCCATGGCACTGGAGCTAACCTCCCTGGACGTGGACGAAAGAGAAACATTAATAAAAGGTTGCAACGCAGGATAGTCCAGATGGTGGATAAGCAGCTCCAGTCAAGTTCGAAAGAAATTCAAGCTGCCCTGCAGGCGCAGGGTGCATCAGTGTCAGCTCGAACTATCCGTCGATGTTTGAATGAAATGAAACGCTAGGGCAGGAAACCCAGGAGGACCCCACTGCTGACACAGAGACATGAAAAAGCTAGACTGCAGTTTGCCAAAATCTATGTAAGTAAGCCAAAATCCTTCTGGGAAAACATCCTGTGGACAGATGAGACAAAGATAGAGATTTTTGGTAAAGCAAGTCATTCTACTGAAAACAATGAGGTCTACAAAGAAAAGAACACAGTACCTACAGTCAAATATGGTGGAGGGTCAAAGATGTTTGGGGTTGTTTTGCTGCCTCTGGAACTGGGTGCCTTGACTGTGCAAGGCATCATAATATCTGAAGATTACCAAAGGATTTTGGGTCACAATGTAGGGCCCAGTGGTCATGGGTYTTCCAGCAGTACAATGACCCCAAACGTACTTCAGAACGCACCCAGAAATGGATGGAAGCAAAGCGCTGGAGAGTTCTAAAGTGGCCAGCAATGAGTCCGGATCTAAATCCCATTGAACACCTGTGGAGAAATCTTATATCTCTTAAATATGAGAGACTTGGAGCAGTTTGCAAAAGAAGAGTGGTCCAAACTTCCAGTTGAGAGGTGTAAGAAGCTCGTTGATGGTCATAGGAAGCGATTGATGTCAGTTATTTTTTCCAAAGAGTGTGCAACCAAATAATAAGTTGAGGGTGCCGATAATTTTGTCCGGCCCATTTTTGGAGTTTTGTGTAAAAATGTATCAAATTAGCCTTTTTTCCTCTGTTTTTTGTGTTGTTCCAATACACACAAAGGAAATAAACATGTGTTATAACAAAACGCGAAATTGCAATAATTTTCTGGGAGAAATACTTCATTTTCTGGGGAAAAAAAGATGGGTACCAACACTTTCGGCCATGACCGTTTAGTGTTTGTTGATGTATATGTATATATATGTACAGTATATACACATAGGTACATGTATATATGTGCATTGTTATATATTTTGTGTATATTGTTTTTTTCTCTTTCCTTTTATTTCTCTTTCTTATTTATTTTATCTCACCCTCTCCTGTATTGAGCTGCAGCAACGTGCAAATTTTCCCACTGTGGCATCAATAAAATCTTATCTTATCTTATCTTATCTTATCTTATCTAAAATCTCTGTTGCAAGAGAGGCAAACTAACCCAGAGATGACCCACAGACACACAAAGAACGTGCAAACTTCCCACAGAAAGACCCCCGGAGCTGGGGTCTGTGAAGCGTCATTGCTAACCACTGAGCYGTCCTGCTAGCGTGCACTTCCACCTGAGATCAGTTTGAATCATGTGTGAATTATGCAAACTCCAGTCTGACCTTTGACCTGCTAACCACCACTTCAAACTTCACAGCTCAATTACTTCGTTTCATCATCAAAACCAAAGAGAACTCAAACTGTTCTGGTGGATTTGTCTGAACACTGTGTCCAAAGAGAGCATTTGTTTTGTTTAACGTCGTTAACTTTATTCACGTGTCTCTAATGAACATGCTGCAACTTGTTTTTCATTTGAACGTATATTTAAAGTAAGTCTTTGTTGTAAACAGTCTTTCTAAATGAAGCTGTTTGTTTAATGGTAAGATTAAAAACTCTCAGTTGGATCTAATTGATGCCTTGGATAACAGGCCACCCTTGTGTGCACCTGACCTTTCCTGTTGTCGTGTAATGAGGGTTAATGAGAGGGTTGTTTGCTCTTTGTTCTGCAGCGTGACTCACTTTCTACAATTCACCACGGGTTAATGAAAATGTCACGACGTCCCTGAAGTCTTGCTTCCACTCAATCTACAGCAACGAGTTCAACAATGAGGGGAAAGTTGAGAGGAAGTTAAAAAAGGTAAAAGCAAACAGTTTTAAAACTTTAATCAGTTTTTATCGTTTAGTGAGGTGCTTGGTAATCAGAGAAAGCAAATTTGATTGTCAGTTAATGAAACAAAACAAACAGATGCAAACATTCAAACTTAGTATTTAAATGTACAAATAAAACTGTTGGTGGGGATCTGTTTTATTACATTATATCACAAATGTAAACTGATGGTAGTGAGGAAACTGGCATTATTTAAAAAAATCACGAAAACACAAAATGACACAAAACATTGGATATTTTATGAAAATCTAATGGTCATCCTAATAAATACCCTTTTATTTTTTGGTAAACTGATTAACGTAAACCACTTGTTATCAATTATACATTTTTTGAATCTGAATTTATAAATTTTATTCATTTCATAAAACATAAAACAAAATTCTATGTACAATAAAAAAGAAAATACAAATAAAACGAAATGAAAGGTGGCAGAGAGGAGAAAAAAATCTTTTATCTGCCCCTTTTTTCTCTTTTTATTGTACATAGAATTTTGTTTTATGTTTTATGAAATGAATAGAGTTTATAAATTTAAAAAGTAAACTGATTAACRTAAACCACTTGTTATCAATTACCAATGACAGCAATAAGATGTTTTTGACATTTTTAACCAGGAAAATCCCAGTGAGATGTGATCACCTTCCTTTTTGTTGCAATGGAGGCCGTGAGGCAGCCTGACAAGCAGGGTTTAGAGTTGTGGGAGCATCAGAGGTGCCAAAAGTATTCACATTCATTACTTAAGTAGAAATATAGATACTACTCTTTAAAAATATGTATGTATTTTTATTACCTCCGCCAAAGGGGGAGGTTGTAGAAATGAAATACTTTTAGCATTTTTAAAAAGTAAGGAGTAGAAAGTACAGATAATTGAATTAAACTGTAAGGCGTAGTAGTAAAAAGTAGGCTGAAAAATAATTACTATACTATTATAATTCCACTAAAGTATAAATACTTTAGTGGAATACTGYGTGGCTATGAGTAGTCAAAGGAAAAAAATTCTTGGGGAGCATCCAGAYAAAATCCATTCAAGCCCAAACAGGACATGCAAACTTCACACAGAAAAACCCAAACAGGGGATTGAACCCAGAGCCTTCCTGCTGAGAAACAACAGTGCTAACCACAAACCGACAAACAATATAAAAAAGACAAAAAAAAATGTCAGCAACATAAAAAAACACTGAGTTTGGGCCAATAGCTGTTGGCACAGAAACAAACAAAAAAAGGTGAAATATAAGTAAAAAAGTCCAGTTTCTCAAATGTTCACTCAAAAAATGTGCAACGCTTTTATTATTTATTTAAACCTACCTGTAAAAATTAATCATCTACATAATCGTGTTGGGCCCACCCACMGTGTCTTTGAATAACTGACAACTAAATCCTATATAAAGTGTGGAGGAACTACGATGCTGCTGTCTGGAAGTGTAAAGGTAGGTGCACTGTATAAACATCTGGATTTGAATGAAATAATAACTCAAACAATAACAAAATATGTTTTTTGATTATTTCACTTGTATGGATTATTCACACCCATTCACATTGATGCTTTGATTAATGATTTAATATAAAAACTGATGAATATGTTCATGGTGTGTATTTTTTACATGTTTGCACTGTTTAAACCTTTTATTCTAAATTGTACTCTGAAGAAAACTGTTGAGAAATGTTCACGGTTATCATTTTAGATGGTGGAGATGGGGCCTCATGTGTGCAAAAAGCTCATTGATGTGCATGGGGAAAAGACTTTTATATGTAATGTGGTGTCACAAATAAGCACAAAGTGTTGTATATTATTCTAAAAGCCAGTAACAAAAAGCTGCAGCTGGTTATCTCAACACTTGGATGCAACCACAATGGATTTGTGAAAATCAGAACTTATTTAGACTCGATGACACCTCAGAGGTTTTTATCTAAACTCTACAGATTATAGTTGTTGTAGTAAAAGAACATCACATGAGTGGTTTTAATGTTGGGTTGGATCAGTTTAAAGTTCTTATTATCACCTCTCCTTCTGTTACTTTTACAGTCTTGGAGAAATGAACGTGTCAGCTGCCAATGTGACCTTGGTTGCAGAGTATCGGGATTCCTTCACCAAAGCTGTCATCAAGAATGTCATWGTTGTGCTTCTCAGCCTTTTCATCAATTACATCAATGCAGGACTCATTTATACCTTCTGTGAACATCAGGTCAGACCTTTTTTAAATTATTTTCACAATGATATTCTTTTTAGAAGAAATGAAATTGCTACACATTCAGTAACAGTATTTTTAAAAAGACATCTTTGAAATCTACAGACACTGATCAGGCACGATGATGGTGACAGATAATCTTATCTCTTTTGTGTAGTTGTTTCTCCTGTAGGCACCTGCAAATTTTACATAACATGTTTATAACTGAGTGCATGTCTGGTATGTACCAGGTACGTACCTGATATGTATCTAGTATGTACCAGACTGTGTTATATATAGTGCTTAAAAATGTATAGTGGTAATGTATAGCATAGTCCCTCCCAATACCAGAATTTTTCACAATTGTACAAAATGTATCGGTACTGCATTGAATGTGTTACAGTTTACATTTCAAGTGGAAGGATTGTCAGTTCCATGTTTATAAAATGTACACAAGTTGAAAGAAAATCTTCTTATGTTTATTAATTTAAATATGTTGTAATACTATTTATTACAGTATACTGTTTATTTGATTTGATCTAGTCAGAGGGGCTATAGACCTATACAGAAAGAGACCAACCTTCTCCATAATAAACATAATGTCTAAATGCTTAGGTTCTAACTCAGTAAGTACTCTGCATTGGCAAGTACTGAAATTGAAGTACTCATACTCATTTTGCAAAATGCTGGTATTGGGGCACCCTTAATTATGTATCATTACAGTTACTTTTACTGATATTTTGATTTAGTCAGTGTAAACTGATCTATGATACAAAGATTTAAAATTTGACAAACATACCTCTCATTATACAATGGTAAATGGACTGAACTTATATAGAACTTTATGAAGTCCCTGGACTCCAAAGTCCTTTACACCTACCTTCACCCATTCACACACTGATGGTGTTAAGTTACAATGTAGCCACAGCTGCCCTGGGACAGACTGACAGAGGTGARGCTGCCATGCACCRGCACCACTTGACCCTCTGACCACCATCAGTAAGGCTGGTGAAGTTTCTAGCTTAAGGACACGACTGAGACACCTGGAACGGCAGAGAGAACCGACAACCCAATGGTTACAGGACAACATCCCTAACCACTCTGCTACAACTGTCCATTTATCATTTACTCCCTCCAACCCCCAATTTACACTACATGCGTCTCTGCTCCACTCCGCTGCGGTCCGCCCTCCATACGCAATCATTCTAATCACTGAGAGTATTTACACTGGCTCCGCACGGCGGTGCAGGGCGGTGGTGAGCGGACGGCGATCTGCCAAAATTAGATCCGATCCGGAACTGCTTCAGAGTCAATCAACAAAGATCATATCGTGCCAACAGGAAAAGGAATGAACACAACATCCATATTTTCAAAATAAGACACCATAAGGCGGAATAATTTTATCGAAATCCCAGCTATATTAATCAATATATGAATAACTTTCTACACAAATGCTGTCAGAATGTATCATTCTGTTTGGGAAGCAGATGGCAACGTGTAGCATGAAGCATATGTGTACACACACGATACATGTGGATTTTATTTTGAAATCAGAAGTTTCAAAAAGATGACAGCGATACAGTTTCAACCTTAGATATCAAAAGCTTTTATGTCAATGTTCTCAGCTGTGTTTGGAGTTCGTCTTTCACAGAATTCATTACGTTTTGCTCTGACTTCCACATTTATCACTGGATTTATCGCACAATCTCCTTCCCGCAAACGCTTCCTCCTCTGTGTGTCACATCGTAGCAGAGCTGAGCAGAGTGGAGGCTGTATAAATTGGGTTGTAAATGAACAGCTGTGAACTGCGCACCGCAGCGCAGCGGAGTGGAGTGGAGACGCATGTAGTACAAATCTAGGGTAACGACTCCAAAAAGGGTGGGAATTCTGAACTGATGTTGTGGCATAATCACAAATAACTGTCAGAACCCGTCCCCCTGCACATAGGTGGAGGGATCACCAAGATGGGGGGCAATAAGTATGCCTGATTTCAGCAGGGGCAACTCCAGAGTGAAAGAGTGTTCAACCCCTCTCGAGRAGACTGGATCCAGAGCCAGAGTGGTGTGCCGAGGTGAGCCCAACTATATCTAGTCGGAACCTCACACTCCTCAGGCTCCTTTCCCACCAGAGCAGTGGCATTCCATGTCCCTAAAGCCAGCTTTTGAAGCAGTATCAGACAGCCAAGGTCCTTGTCTTTGAAAACTACACAGCACACTGCACCCGAGATCTTTGGCCTCTCCCACAGGWGGTGAGACCATGGGAAAGGGGGCCAACATCTCATCTTTGGGCTGTGCTAATCTGGGATTCATGGGTAAAAGCCCGGCCCATAAAATCTGGTGGAGTGCCCTCCACCCCCAGGCCTGGCTCCAGAGTGAGGCCCAGGTGACCCAAATCCTGGCATGGGATCACTGTCTSCATTGGTGGTAATCAACAGAAGGGATCTTTGTGCTGAACTTTATCTGATCACTCACCTAGGACTTGTTTTCCATGGATAACCATAGCAGGGACATAACGCCCCTGACAACATAGCTCCTAGGATCACTGGGACACTCAAACTTCTCCAACACGATACGGTGCCARCACAAAGCCACCCAACATATTTCATGCATTAAAAAAACAAGTAACTGACTTTTTGTTTTGTAACTATACTTTTTTGGTTTTCTTCTCCATTTCTAGATCTTYAACTCAAACCCTCGGTACATCCTGTTTGTCCACTTGGTGGTCAACGATATGATCCAAGTTTCATTGACCGTCGCACTTTTCATCATCAGCTACATCCTCTACAAGATACCTGTTTTTGTCTGCTGCATGCTAATGTTGTTTACCATCGTCACCACTGAAAACAGCCCCTTGAACCTGGCCTGCATGGCGATGGAGTGCTACGTCGCCATCTGCATCCCTCTTCGTCATCCTCAGATCTGCACCATCAAGAGAACAAGGATACTGATTGGTTTCATCTGGCTGACCACCACTTCCTTTGTTTTTCTTGATCTCTTCCAGACTTTGGCCATTGAGCCTTTGGACTTCTTTAGATCTAACATATTTTGTGTCAGAGAAGCAGCTTTTCGAAATCCCAGCATCATTGAACGGAGGAGTATTACCTATATTACATATCTGTGTCTAGTATGGTGTGTTCTCTTTTACACTTATTTTAAAA